TTATCCCTAAGAATACAGAGGAAGGGGAGTTCAGTGCTCCTGGAGAAAACTGGGGCAGAGTTCAGGCACTGGTTCTTAGCAGGGGCAGAATAGATGTAAAAGGAGACTATTAAACAGAGGGAGCAGGGCTGAGAGGCCATACCCTAGTGCCGTTCTTGCTTTCTCATACATAACTATCTTTTCTAGCATAGCTGAAGAACTAAAAGCTGACTGGCTTCCTTCTCAACCTTCATCCCAGACCCTGTCACTCTGTCAATATCCGCGGTCCTCTAAACCCACTGTTCTTAGAGATAAGCGAGTGTCGACTGATTAGCCATCAACCCTAAATTTCTCCAGAAGGTCAGACATGCTTCCCAGGCCTCCACGAGTATCCTGAGGCCAACAGGGAGGGTTTTGAGAATGTCAGCTGAACCCCACCCCCAGCATTATTCCCCAATCCTATCAACCCACAGCCCAGAGGCAAGAGGCTACTGGCCTTCTCACCTGGCACACCCTAATGAGGCTTGGCGTTCTCCACACTCTTAGCAGGATGTGGAGTCAAGATGCTCCTGCTGTCTCCACAGGAGGTATAAGGGGAGATGTCCTGATTGACATTGGCACTGGCCCCACCATCTACCAGCTGCTTTCAGCATGCGAGGTCTTCCGGGAGATCATTGTCGCTGATTACACTCCACAGAACCTGCAGGAGTTGCAGAAATGGCTGAAGAAGGAGCCAGGAGCCTATGACTGGTCCTCCATAGTGAAGCATGTGTGTGAGCTGGAGGGAGACAGGTAACTTCCCCATGTCTTCCACCCACTTCATTGTAGTAGCAAGCCACTTGGTTCCCTGCTGCTCAGACCCGAAATAATCACTGTATTAAAATACTGCTTGGCCCATTAGCTCTACCTTCTTATTGGATAACTCTTAAATATTAATTTAACCTATTTCTATTAATCTGTGTATGGCCACATGGCTGTGGTTTACCGGCTAAAGTTCCATCTGGTTCCAGTGGGGCTTCATAGCTTCTTTCTCACTCCACCTTTCTTTCTCCCAGCATTCAGTTTAGTTTTCCCTGCCTACCTAAGTTCTGCCCTGCCATAAGCCCAAAGCAGTTTCTTTATTCATAAATGGTAATCACAGCACACAGAGGGAAATCCCACATCATGTCATCTACTCAGACAAAGCCCCTGTGGTGCCCAGGACAGCAAAGGAACCCACTACCCACCTCACTTTTTTCCTGATCTGCCTGCACCTCATGAACTTATAAGCCTCCTTCAGGTCAGTCCAACCTCCAGTCCCAGTGTTGCCCCAAACTGTCTGTCCCTGCTCTCTGGACCTGTTCAGACTAGCTGTGACATCAGCTTCTGTGTCACCTCCTCCAGGAAGTCCTGAACACTGCCCCAGCTCACACCATTCCCACTTTGCCCTGGAGACTGGTTCAGCATCTCCTTTGATGTTGGGGGACACACTTATCATGGAAAGACATGATGTGAGGTACACCCCACACTTGTGTCCCTCAGCACCATGATGAAGTCCCAGAGACCAATAGCAGTGGCCTTCTGCAGGTCCTGTGTCCACTTTGGTTCATAGGTCATATAGCCCCAACTGGAACTGCAAGGGTCAGTGATTCTGATTATTCTACAGCTAGGGAAACTGAGGCTCTGGCTTGGAGAGGGTCCTCTAGCCCTCTTCAGAGCAGGGGAAAAATAGGTCAGTATTTCTGCTCTGGTTTTGGAACAGAGAGACTGACCGTGACAGTCCAGGACAGCCTACAGTGGTCCTAGCTAGAGGGACGCTAATTACAGGGGCCTTGGAGTTAGTCCCATCTGTGTTTCTCTCACTCTCACTAAGTCAAGAGCACACACAGCCAGGAGGAGGGAGCCTCAGGGAGGTCCTGTTACATGAAGAGAAAGCCGCCATCATGCTAAACTGAGACAGGTAGCTGGAGGTGAGAGGAGAGGCTTCCGCGGGGACAGGAGAACAATGTTCTGGGCTAGCGGTGACCTCTCCCAGGACCTAGGGCTCCTGTAGTTGAGGTGAGGGAACAAAGGCCATGTCTCAGGAAGACCACATAAGTGGCATGAACAGCAAGCAAAGGCTAAAGACCCATGTATGAAGAGGACAGGTCAGGCATCAGGGAGAGTCACCTATGTCACACACTGGCACCCTCGGGACTGTGAGAAGAGTAACATAATGACACAGTGTGTGCATGTTGTGTGTGCGTGCGTGCGTGCATGTGTGCATGCGTGCATGTGTATGTTGTATGGATGTGTATTTGTGTTTGCATGTGTTTGGATGCAGCATGAATATGTGTATGTGAAAGTGTGTACATCTATTTGTGTGAGAACGTATGTTTACTAGTGTGCATATGTACGTATATGTGTGCATGTATGTGTGTACAGTGCATAGGTGTACATATACGTTGTGTGTGCATGTGTGCGTGGATGTGTGTGAAAGCACATGCACACAGGTGCACGAATGGGGCATGCATTCCACAGTGGCTGTATGGAGGTCAGAAGACAACCTGTGGGAGTTGCTTCTCTCTTTTCAACATGGAGGTCCTAGGGATTATGATATTTGGCAGTAATCTCCTTTATTAACTGAGCCATCTTGCTAGTTCAAGATCTACATCTTTGAAAGAACTAGTCTGTGTACCAAACTGAGGAGTGCCAACCCAGTCAGAGCAGCAGCTGGCAGGGCCACCCCTAGCAATGACAGTGACTCAAGAATTTCATGGAGGGGCTTGGAGGATGCTGGAGTCTGTAACAGCTCTGTGGTAAAGGGAAGTGAGGAGCCAAGGGTGACCCCAAGGTTCATGGCCACAGATGCAGGAAGGAAGTAGAGGACGATGACATTTAGACAGCAGGCACAGCTGGAGCTGCTGATGTGACACGGCAATGGAGACGCTGGGGAAGCCGCAGTCTGACCAGGAACTACAGGGTTACTGCTAGGCTGGGCTAGGACCTCTGGGGGAGGAGATCACTGGATGGCCAGAAGAGAGGAAGATGATGACAGACAGAAGTCAGCAGGAGGCCGCCAAGGGAGACAAGAAAGTAAACACCATGATCGTGTGTCCCCTCCCGCAAGAAGCTAAGGAAAGAACACAGTAGCAAAAGCAGGGAGCCCTAATGTGGGTGAGCCTAAGGCCATCATGCTAAGAGCTATGCATCGAGGGAGGAGTGCTGCAGGATTCCATGTGTATAGCTATCCCAGGCTGGCAAACCCAGAGACCGACACCAGATGGGTCCTAACCAGAGGCTGCACCTGGCAGTCACTGCTTCATGCTGTTTAATGAGTGCCCAAGTGTTAGGATGCCAGCACCATATCCATCTGAAGCCCAGGAACTCAGTGTGAGGTGGAAGGGAAGGTTAAACAGTGGCAGCAGCTACACGGCAATCTACCTGCAAACAATTCAACAGAACTGGCCACAAGATGATAAAAAAAAAAAAAAATGCCATACGAAGTAGCACACCCCTGAGCCCCAGCTCTCAGGAGACTCATGAGTGCGAAGTCAGTTTGAGCTACAGAGTGTGTTCTAGGCGAGTTCTAAAGTTCACAGAGAGACCTTGTCTCCAAAAAAGAGCAAGGGTTTTTTGAATAATAAAGAGGATGGGAGACAGCTGGGTCATACAGGGCTAACCTTGCAAGCATGAAGATCTGAGTTCAAGTCCCAGAACCCATGTTTTGTGTTTTGTGGTTTTTGGGGTTGTTTGCTTTGTTTTAAAGTGGGATGTGGTGGCTTGTGCTTATGATCCCAGCACTAAGCAAGATGAAATAGGAGATCCAGGGGACTTGTTGGGCAGCCAGCCTGGCCTACTTGCCCAGTGAGATAGTCTGAGCAATAAAAGAAGAAAAAATAGACAGCCCCTGAGGAATGACACCTGAGGTAGTACTCTGGCCTACACACACACACACACACACACACACACACACACACGAAGATTGGTGTGCACATTTTCACACACTCATAAGTGTATACAAGATGATAATAATGAAATACACCAAAAAGATTGAAAGAGCATAAAGAAGAAAGAGAGAGAGGAAGAGGAGGATGAACCCAAATACCAAATCCACCATCCCTGGTGGCTGTGAGCAGCTCAGTGCCTCCGTTTCCATCTGTATGGCATGTCGCCGGGCACATTAACTAAATGGATGGTTGTGGGGCTGGAGAAAATCGCAACAGTCACAGTAGCTGGTTTTCATAATTATGAGTTTGTATCGTTTATTGTATTGGTTCGCTGCAGCCATGTTATCAATCGTAATCACCACGGCACCTCCCTGATCTCCTCACAGAAGCAGGTGGCAGGAGAAGGAGGCCAAGCTCCGAAGGACAGTCACTCGTGTCCTGAAGTGTGATGTGACCAAGACACCCCCGCTGGGGTCAGCTCAAGTGCCGCTGGCTGACTGCGTGCTGACTTTTCTGGCCATGGAGTGTGCCTGTCTTGATGTGGAAACCTACCGGGCAGCCCTGCGCAGACTGGCTGACCTGCTGAAGCCAGGGGGCCACCTGGTTACCATGGTTACTCTGTGTTTCCAGCACTATATGGTGGGCCCCAAGAAGTTCTCTGGGGTCTACCTGGAGAAGGAGACGGTAGAGAAGGCTCTTCAAGATGCAGGTTGTCAGGTGCTGAAATGCAACTGTGTCCCCCTCAAATACTCCCAGGCCTTCTGCGAGGGTCTCTGTTTTATAGTCGCCCGCAAGGGCCCCAGTGCCTGAGGACCCTGGCAGAGAAGAGCCTTCCCTGGGGAAGTCATAGCCGGCATTTATAGTCTTTCTCCACGGCTTCTAATACTGGTCATGCTGCCTCTATCTGGTTATAAGGTCACAAGGGAAAAACCCAAGGCTCTCTCTCTCTCTCTCTAGTTTAAGTCCCAACAGCCATCTCCTTTGGTTCTTTTCTTACCCTAAATAAAGCTCATTGAAATAAAGTGATGTCTCTGGATTCTGTCTTGGGATAGCCTTTCCCAACAACAGACGAGCACTTGGTTGCCAACTATGTATCTGCTAACAGATGCTGTGAACATAGATGCAGACATTGGAGGGAGAGCAGGAGGTGGGAGCAGCACCAAGCCCATTCCACTGAAGCACCTGGAGCTGGGGCCAGTGTGGGGCCTGCAGGTGGCATTGCCTACTGAGGGAGCTGGCCATGCTTACCAACGGTCCCTCATCGTGTCCAGAGGTACTAAAAACTCTGCAAGTGGCTTCAACAGACGTGTGGGTGCCAACCACAGTAGTATGGCCATCATACCCAGATTCAGGAAAGAGATCATGTACGCAGTGTGCTGGTTGGAATGTGGATCACTTCTGGGCACTCTGGCCCTTCTATGAGAGAAATGGAAGACTAGGACCTCGGGTTTCATAGCCAGAAGGCACCTTCCAGAGTGAGGCAGGCACTCTCTACATCTGATGGTTTGATGAGTCACACAGCAGAGCCACACAGAGGCCTGATCCCGGAGACATGGAGCTTCAGAAGTGGCCAGCTGAGTCAGGCTGATCCATCCACACAGCCAAGAACCCAAGCCATGATTTCTGGGAAGGCCTAGAGACATATCCAGGTCTTTGAGGAATGTTCTCTAGGTAGTAAGTTCTCAACGGCCTCCCTACTCACTGAGGCTATTGGAGCTGCTCCCAGGATTGGGACCAATTGACCTCTACAAAGGGAAGTAATGACCTTTCTTCCCTACTCTGGCACACATGAAGACCCTGGTCGCTCTGTAAAAAGAGCAGAGCCCCTCCACAGTGTGCCAAGCCCAATCAACCCAGCAAAGCAGCTTCCCAAAGCCAATGCAGTCTTATTCTTGCCTTGCCTGAAATGCTGGCTCTGAGGGAGAAGGTTCCAGCGCTCCAGCTAAGCAGTATCGATTGGACCAGCAAAGCAAAGTTCTCACCTTAGTCATTCTGATCTGGTGTTAACCACAGCCAACTCTTCTGGCTGACTGGAACTACATATCTGAATTCAAAACATCACATACAAGCAACGCTAGATCTTCGTTCCCCTCTGAACTTCGCAAGCCAGGCCTTCGTCATCTGCAAGGCTCTCCACAGGCTTAGCTTCCGAGATCCTAGAGAACAGACCGCAGAGCTCAGAGAACCCAATGGCCTTCCAGCCCAAAGTTCAAATCAGACCATGATCCTCCCTAAAACACACGTTCAGGTTTGTCACAATGCCTCCACTCCTAGTACCAATTTCTGCCTCAGTAGGGCGGACACCTGGAGGCAGGAAAGGAGCAGAAGCCGTGGAGGGACACTGTTTACTGGCTTTCTCAGCCTGCTTTCTTATACCATCCTGTACCACGGTCACAGGCGTGGCCCCACCCACAGTGGGCTGAAAATGCTCTAAAGGCTTACCACTCTGATAAAGGCATTTTTCTCAATGAAGGTTCCCTCTTTTCAAACGAGTCTAGCTTGTGTCAAGCTTGTGACAAACAACAACAAAACAAACAAAAACAAAAACCTAGCCAGGATAACCTTTGACCGAATGACCTTACTACACAGGGTTTTTTCTTCCCCTCTCTTACCCAGTCTCCCCTTCTGAGCACTAAACAGAAAGGGCAAGTGATGAGAAAGGCCAGGCCAACAACCACAGCCTGGGGAAGGGCAGCTGCACTGCTGTTAAAACAGGTGAGCTTTCCTCAATGTTTCTGTTGTGTTTGTGGAGTGACCTGGAGCCTTAGGTTAGAGGGCAGTACCCAGGGAGTCCTCACACTGGTGTCAAGGACAAACCAAGTTTCATCCCTGGCTCTGCTTCAGAGCTACAGCAATGTGAGGGCGCAATGATTCCATCTGGCCATGAGAGGGCAGTGCAGGACAGATCATCAGGAGAGCTCACGCACTCTTAGGAGTGGTGTTTGTTTGCTCAAGCAACTTTTTGAAATCCTGTTTTTTGTTTTTGCTTTTTTTTCTGCCCTCTCAGAAAACAACAACAACGATAAAAAGACAAAAACAAAACACCTTCCAGAAGTCCCCACCTCTACAGGCAAGGTCTCTGAAAACCAGGATTCCCTGTCTCTGTGGTTCCATATTCTACAGCTCCACTGTGCCTGGAGGTGGTAGGAGAGGAAGCTGGTGGGAGACCAAGCTGAGTCATGTGTTTGGGCAAGCCCAACAAGGTTGGGAGCACAGGATGGCTGGTGAATAGAGTGTCTTGAGGTGGGCAGTGCCAAGCAGGAGGTTTTGGACCCGATCTTGGTGTCTACACTTGTCATTGGCAGCCTTCCAGTAGCCACAGGCCTCCTTGAGTGTGCATACAGCGTGTAAAATACAGAGTGGGGTCCTCTTCCCTGCCCAATTTGCTGGAAACAAGGGAAGAGGATGCATCCCAGAATCACTAAGTGCAATTCAGGTAGCAGGGCCTGAGAGTCCAGTGAACAGGTTTGCTAGCATTGAGCATCCTGGTAAGTTTTAGAAAATGCAGATGCCCATGACTCACTGACTTGTCCAGATACAACCTTTGGAGAACAGACCAGCAAGAAATCTGCTTTCAGAGTCTTCTAGGAACAGCAGGAATGAGGAAGAGGGTGGGGTAGCCCCTTCCCAGGTACCCAGTGATACTGGGCAGCTCCAGGTGAGGTGCAGAACTCTCTGCCCTCAGGGTGTCTTAGCTTGCTTTCTATTGTTGCTATAAGGCACCATGACCAAAAGCAAATTGGGGAGGAAAGGGTTTATTTCAGCTTCCAGTTTATAGTTCATCCTGAAGGGAAGTCAGTGCAGGAACTCAAAGCAGGAACCTGGAAGCCGGGACTGAAGCAGAGGCCGTGGAGGAATGCGGCTTACTGGCTTGCTCCCCATGACTTACTCAGCCTGCTTTCTTGTATCACTTATGACCACCTGCCCAGCGGTGGTACCACGGATAGTGGGCGGAGTCCCCCTCCCCGCACGTCAATCATTAGTCAAGAAAGTACTCCATAGGTTTACCTATAAGTCAATCTGATGGGGATGTTTTCTCAGTTGAGGTTCCTTCTTTTCAAGCTTTTGACAAGTTGATAAACACTAACCAGCACACAGGGACCAAGTCCTAACTTATCGGGGGAGTGCAGGCTCCCAGGGGCTCAGATCCTGTGTACCACTGCAGAATTTGACCAAAGGGCAGGGGGAAAGATGCACTCAGAATCCTTTCTTAGGTGACTGTAAAGGAAATCACCTGCCGGCAGCTTTCTCATCAGCACCTACTCTGTGACCAGAGCAAAGATTGAGTTTTTTAAGGGACATAAGGCCCTACGCTAAAAATCATTTCTTGGTAGGTTGGTGAGGGCTGGGTGCAAGGAAGGACAGTGTCAAATGAAACCTTCAGTGGCAAGGTGGCCAAGGAAGGCTGGGGAAGGCTTTGTCTGAAAGAGAACCCCCAACACACATATATTAGCATGAGGTATGCAATCAGAAGACGAGCTACTTCCTGCCTGGATGAAGATGAGGGCCCCTGCAGTCTGGTACTCAGTGGGCACTGGTCCAAAGATCACTTCTGGGCCTTTCTGGGCTTGAAAGTCCCGGGTCCCTGTGTTGGCAAGAGGGGTGTAATGATGTGGTGACGGGCTGCCCATGGAAAGAGGAAAAGGGACCCACCCACTGCAAGAGTCTAGGAGGACCCTAGTAGCCAGTAGGAGCCAGTGCCATCAGCTAAGCGATGTGACAAAGGTCTGGAAAGAAGCTGGTGGCCCTGTCAGAGGACTATGGTCAAAGGCAGGAGGGGTGGGCAGGACTGCTGTGCACCGTGACCTCTAGCTTCTGGGGCTGCCGACTGAGGCTAAGCACAATGCCGAGGAACTAGAGAATCAGAGTTGGGATGAAGTGGAGATTCCCTGCTGAGTGCGACCCTCATGTCCCTTAGTGGGTGGGTAGGCGAGAGCCAGAAGCCAAGGAAGGTGAGACATCTTTCTGCAGGGACACCCTAACGGGAGGAAGAGACAGTTTTATGCCGCTGGGGTCTGAGCCTGGGTAGGCAGATAAAAGGTATGTGCAGTGCCCAGGACTTGTGGGAACCCCCAAGGGGAAGCACCACCTGGAAACACTTGTGGTGGCCAGGGTGGCCACAATCAGCCTCCTGAGACCGCATCGGCTGCAAGTGCCGCCAACAGAGCAAGCCCCTCCTGTAAGGAAGAGATAACTCTATTTATTCTCCCTGCCATTGTTAGACTGGAAACTGACATCCTGGTGTGTCAGAAGGCTGTGCCTTTTGGTCTGTAAAAACTCTGGGAGCAGAGAGAGGCTTGAGCGGCAGATTCTGCGGCTGGCGCAGCAGTGTTCAGCCTCACCCCTACAACGAACCCCTGTGTGTGTTTAGATGTCAGGAGGCATGGCTTTCCTTCAAAACCACAGGTGAGGCAAGCAACAAGGGCAGAGAAACTACTTCCGGTGCATGTTAGAGAGCCCAGCCATTCGCTCCCAGGCCGCGAAGTGAACCCCACACAGACGCACGGAGGGAAGGGCAGGTGTGCTGGCAATCCAAATGTCTTTGAGAAGAAGAAATTATGGGCGGAGCCCTATACTCCGCTGTGCCAGGAGTGTGCAGGAGAAACAGAGCCCAGCAGAGGCACAGAGAAAGGTTGACCAGCAGCCAGGAGGCCTGGGCCCTAGAACCTGACTTCCTTGGCTGCGAAGTCTGAAGCGGGGTCTACACACCAGCCTTGGATATGTGGTAAAGACGTTACACAGTTTCCTTCTCCCATTCCAGGCTCTTGGCTCAAGCTGCTCTTCTCTGCCCGAGAGTGTATCTTGACTTTCATTTCAAGACTCTGGGTGGGAAACAGCTGCAGGCATCTGGGGCATGGATCAGGAATGGCAATAATGCAAAAAAGGGAAGGCCAAAAATACAGGACTTTGACACAGTGGCAAGCTAAGCTTGGGTACCACTTAGTCTTAATTCTCCAAGGTCTACCAAGGAAAGAAAATATGCAGGTATCCAGAAAATAAAGAATGTAGGCTCCATCAGAAACCAACTACAGGAGGAGGCACGACGCTACTCCTTTAAGCTCTGTTGCCTCCTGGGCTTCCTGTTGGCTTCATTTTGTTTTTTTTTCTGGCTTCTTTTGGAGCTGGGTCTCTGCTTCTTTACATGACTCTGAAGCTCTGTGTTTTCTTTCACTGTGTAGACGCACTATCCATTGTGCTGTGTTATGTAAGGCATTTTCACACAAGCATATTCTTATACACTGAGCATAATCCCCATTCGCCTTCCCTTCTCATTCGGTCCCTTAATCTCCTAAGCAGTTTCATTTCTACCTTCGTACATAACTTTATGTTCTGTAGAAAATCCAGACACCAAATATGTTTTAGTTAGGTTTCTGTTGGTATGATAAATATCCTGGACAAAGGTAATGGTCCAATGGGGCTTTGTTTGGCTTGTACATCCTGATAGAGTCAGTCACTGAGGAAACTCTGAACAGGGGCTCAAGCAGGAGCAGAGGCAGGAACTTGGAGGAAAGCTGGCTCATATTCAGCTACCTTCCTTATACAGGCCAGATCAACCTACCTAGACATGGTACTGCCCATAGTGGGCTGGCCCCCACATCTATCAACAATCAAAACAATGCTCCCCCCCGATACACTCACAAGCCAATCCAATGGAGGCAATTCCTCAAATGAGGTTCCCTTTTTGAGGAACTCTAGTTTGTATCAAGTTAAGAAAAACTAACCAGCACAGCATCTGAGCAAAAACATCATATTTTGTCTTTCTGAGACTGGTATATTTCACTTAATATTATTATGTCCAGTTGTGCTATTTTCCTACAAACTACCTACTAAATTCTCTGTAACCGCCTCCCTCATTTTGATAGCTTTCCTGTTTCAAGGCATGGGTTTGCAAAAGAGAAGCCATGAGGTCTGCTTGTGGGCTCACCACCTCTCCCCAAAGCCATGCACTTCAGAAAAAATAATGGGGCAGGGAGTAGCTGCTTAGAAGGTCTGTGCACGCCTCCACGAGTGCAGAGATCACCATTGTGGGAGGTGGTGCTCCCAGAGCCAAATACAGGACCGCCAGGCTTGCAGTAAATAATTGCAGAGCACTTGAAATAACTCCCGGTGTTAGTCGGGGTTCTCTGGAGGCAAAGAACCGACAGAATGAATGTGTGTGTGTGTGTGTGTGTGTTTGTGTGTGTGTCTTTGTCACTGTTCTACTGCAGTGAAGAGACGCCATGACCAAGGCAACACTTACAGAAGGAAGCATTTCACTGGGGGCTTGCTTACAGTTTCAGAGGGTAGTCCATGACCATCATGGCAGGGAGCATGGCTGCACACTGGGCAATGGAACAGTAGCTGAGAACTTTACATCCTGATCCAAAGGCAGCAAGCAGAGAGAGAAACATTGGGCCTGGCCTGGGCTTCTGAAACCTCAGAGTCCACCCACCCTCAGATGCACTAACCAAGGCCGGCCACAGCTACTACAACAAGGACACACCTCTTAATCCTTCTAAATCTTTCATACCTTTCTACTTCCTGACGACTAAGTATTCAAATACATGAGCCTATGAGGGCCAGTCTCTTTCAAACTACCTTATGTATGTATGTATATATTTAGATATGAGGATTCATTTATTTATTTGGTTTTTCAAGGGTTTCTCTATGTAACTTGGGTGTTCTGGAATTTTCTCTATAGACCAGGATGTCCTTGAACTCAGAGATCCACCTGCTGCCTTAAAGTCA